AAATAAAAAATATAATAAAATAAAATAAATGTACATTTAAAAAAAATTATTTGTTGTTGGTTTATTTTACCTGCATATCGTAAATATTTTTTAAATTTTATTATTATTTACATGAACAAAAATCCATTTACAGAAAGAGTTAATAGCATTTTATTTTTATTTTTTTATTAGCTAGAATAATAAATAATGATTTTCCTCCCCTGTGAACGATATTTTAAGAGAGAGAGAGAGAGAGAAAGCACAATTTCAAAATCTCACATTTTTTCTTGCGCATGTTTTCGTGAGCTGATTTTTGATCACTTGTATGCTTATGGTTAACACACATGTACATTCTTGTACTGCTCCTCTCTTGAAGTCACTTTTGGTAAAAGCATTTCTAAATGTATGTGAGCATGGACTAATCAATAAAATTCAAAAGTTAAAAACCATTGACAATCACAAAATGGCCACCAAGCAGAAAAAAGTCGTCTGATACTGTAATTCAGTGGGATAAATGGATTAGTCTCCATGGAGACGGCAGGCGGGAGTTGTAGTATGGAGGTATCGCAGTCTTCACCCAAACAGATGGGCGGTGAGACGGCAGGGAGCAGATCAATATCCATGTGCTCTAGTGAACACAGGCCTCCGTTGTCTGCTGGATCCAAACCACTCTACGGCCTCACTCGCTGTCTTTGTCTTCCCTCAGAACTGACCGTTGTCTCACTGCGGACACTCGCTGAAAGAGATGCTTATGATCCCGAGGACATGAAGAGACTGGAGGACACTAAGCGCTTTCTACAGTCGCGCTCTGATTAATAATCCAACAGATGACAGTGAAGCCATCTTGAAACAACAATGAAAGAACCGCACAGAGTGTTAACTGACTGGCCTTCATGGGAGCTGATAAATGCACCAACTGTTCTGGATGCGTTAAGCTTTGACATGGACTGTGACAGTGGGCTAAAATTACAATAATAAACAGTTAAAGGAATATTCGGGGGTTTAAGTACATTTAAATGTGCAACAAACAGAAAACTTTCAAAAATCAGCTCATTATAAGATTCAAAATGTAAATGGACATACAAGATATTGATTAAACCGCCATAATGTCAGTAAAGGTGTTTACATCGAGAGTAAAAAGGGGTTATAGGGCAAAAATCTACATATTTATGACCTTACACACACATCACAGAAATAAATTATATTTTAAAATATATTCAAATAGAAAATTGTATTTGCTATTTTAAATTGTAATAATATTTCACAATGTTTCTTTTTTACTATATTTTTGATCAAATAAATAGGAGACTTCTTTAAAAAAAAAAAAATCTTGCAGACCCCAAACTTTTGAACATTAATCTATATACAACATAATTAGATAAAAAGCTATCTAAAAAAAAAAGTTGAAACTGCAAGTATGCACTACTCCTAATCTTTAACACTAGATTCAAATTCAAACAAGCTCTGCTGGCATGACTGTTGTACACTATATAGAACTGACACTATGCAAATTGGGATGCTGCCAGAAACTGTGATTGTACTGTAAAATTACAATAATAATTCACTCAAACCATAACGTCTGAGCCGCTCTGCAGCGATGGTGTGGATAAGAGAGGTTTTATGGTAAGATGGTTTGTTCACTGGGATGCTTGTGTGCTACTGTGGGGGCGTTCTTGGAGAGAGCATCTATGAGATGTTGCTGTGAGATTGCTCCAGGCTTGGGTTGAAAAGCCATGGCAGAAGGTCATTAGAATCTGGTTTCACATTAGCATGTGCTGAATGGGATTACCCAGCCAGAGGAGCTCAGAGGAGACCAACACACAAAAAAAAGAAACATTACTACTATTATTAATATATGATTACTATTGAAAATATTATGATATATTAAACTAAGTTACACAAAATTAATGCTTATATTCATAACTGTTGTGGGGAAAAAAATGTAACAAAAAAAGACTTTCCGAGTAGCATCTCCTTCCCATCACACCCTTTAAAGTTGTTACAAATTTCATACAAATTCAACCTACATCACGTATTTTAGCACAGCTGGAATGCTATGTTGACCAATCAGCATCCAGGACCGGAACTTTCCGTTTTACAAGAAGTCATCAGACCTTCTATCATCATGAGACTTCAAGTCTTTATGCCTCAGCCACATTAAAGCAGTCAGTCTTAAACAGGCGATGCATGTTTGATATGGTGTAAAGAGCAGCAGAGAGCATCTCACAGCATTTCTGCATGATATTGCTGTAATACCATTCTGCAAGAATGATTCATCATCAAAAACACGCATCCAGGAGCGCTGCCAACAGGCCGAGCATCTGGGAAAACGTGCTCCCTGCTTTAAGCGCAACTTAAGATTCCATTGATTTTCATGAGGGAAATAAAATCGCACTGGAGTTTAGAGGGCAAGTCTTATGGTTTTATCACCGGAATGAGCGCTAAGACTGAACAGATAGTCCACACTGGATTTAGAACTGAACGCTTAAACAGCACACAAAATGTTCTTATGGCTAAATATCAAAAAGCCAAATTCATAGATGAGATGCGGCATTAATAATTATGCACATGTTATGTTGTCTGTAAATGACCTGACCTGAGTGGCCTGTCTTTCTGAGGAGCAACACGAAGAGAAACCACACCGCTACACTGCCCTCTATTGACAAACACATCATATCACAACAACCACGCTCCAGATTTTGAGTTCAAGCAAGGGCTCGTATCATGAGAAATCATATTTTCCCTGATGGTTTGAAATAAAACAGTTTAATGTAGTATAAAAACATTGAAAAGTCCAAAATAAACATGTACTGAAACTAAACAGCAACTTACTGGTGTCAGATGAATGTATTAGAACAGATCACGACTCACATTTACATTGTAAACAACATCTATTAGTTGAAATTGGCGTAATTACAAAAACATTAAATGACCCCTTTAAATCACATGCATTCTTGCATCAGCGTGCACTGAAAATGTTCAATATTACTGGCAATTTCTATTTTGCCACACAAATACACCAATAAACTACACAACTGTACATTATCAGAAATTTCTTCAGTATTTAAAACGGTAATACAAACAAAACTACCAGTAAAGGAAATAAATAATGCTTATTACCCAGTGTAAAAATAGCTGTGCATCTACTGAAACGGGCTACACTAGGTTGAGTTCAGTTTTTATAAAACCTAAAACCTGCTGTAGTTTCATCTTTCTGCACGACTCCATTCGGCTGGTGGATCTCGAGGGCCTTTGGGTTTCTTTATGCGACAGTTGAAACCTGAAGACAAACACAGACAATGTTTAAAATCAGCAGGCGCATTGAGAAACGCAAGATAACGGAGCACAGGTCAAAATGAATTAATATGGATCAGGATTGCATACACTGCCGTTCAAACGTTTGGGATCAGTAAGATTTTTAATGTTTTTTAATGGAGTCTCTTCATAAAAGAATCCAAAGAGGAGGCTCCAAGGTTCCAAAAAACATGAGGCAGCACAACAGTTTCCAGCACTGATAATAAATCAGTATATTAGAATGATTGCTGAAGGATCATGAGACACTGAAGACTTGAGTAATGATGCTGAAAATTCAGCTTTGCATCACAGGAACAAATTATATTTTAAAGTATATTAAAATAGACACTGTTATTTTAAATTGCAATAATATTTCACAAAATAACAGGTTTTTTTTCTGTATTTGATGAGCACAAGAAACTTGGGTAAAAAAAATATTAAAAATCTTACTGATCCCAAACTTTTGAACGGTAGTGTACATGTCTGCCTTTTTTATACAAAATTTTTCAAGAATGATGTTGCATTCTTCAGAACCTGGCATTTCTATGTGATTGCAATGATGTTCTGAGTGTTTTTTGTGTGTTGCCAGGTGTTACTTTATTCAAAAATACACATTCTGTAATTATTAACTCATCCTCACATGATTCAAAACCTGTAAGACTTTCTTTATTCTATGGAACAAAGATTTAGATATTTGGACTAAAAAAAAAAAGACGTTTCAAAGTGGCATAATTTTTGTTCCACAGAACAAAGAAAGCCATGCAGGTTTGAAAAGACAAACAAATGCCTGAACAAAGCTGAATTTTCAGCATCATTACTCCAGTCTTCAGTGTCACATGATCCTTCAGAAATCATTCTAATATGCCGATTAATTATCAGTGTCGGAAACAGTTGTGCTGCTTCATGTTTTGTTTTTTTTGTTTTTTTCTGGATTCTTTTATGAATAAAATGTTAAAAAGAACAGCATTTATTTCAAATTAAAATCTTTTCTAACTATACGAGTCTTTACAAGTTTTTTTTATTTTATATTCATAAAAGAATCCAAAGAGGAGGTTCCAAGGTTCCAAAAAACATGAAGCATGAGTGTTTTTTGTGTGTTGCCAGGTGTTACTTTATTCAAAAATACACATTCTGTAATTATTAACTCATCCTCACATGATTCAAAACCTGTAAGACTTTCTTTATTCTATGGAACAAAGATTTAGATATTTGGACAAAAAAAAAAAAGACGTTTCAAAGTGGCATAATTTTTGTTCCACAGAACAAAGAAAGCCATGCAGGTTTGAAAAGACAAACAAATGCCTGAAGATTAGAGGTCTGTTTAAACCTCTAACCCTAAATATGAGCAATAGCAGACAATAGTAGGCACTGTTGAGGCCTAGAAACCACACGGCTGCCACTTCTTTGTGGTTGTAAGTGTGTGTGTGGTCTAAAAAAATGTATCTCTTGTAAGGCAGCAGTTTATTTCTTTTTATTTACTAAATGACAAGTTAGCAATTCACATGTGCACCGTAAGATTTAGGCAGCCGTTCAACTTTTAGACAAACTAGAAAGTGTGATAGCATGCAGTTTTGTCCAAAGTCTCGTCAAAAACCCATCCAAACCTAAATGTTTATCTGCTCAGTACACTTGTTGTGTACAGAATTAAGATTTAGTGTGCATATGGCGTTACTCACCCAGGCCACCCGGGGGAAATGGGCTGCTGGTATCCTTGACAACGCTAGACACATATTCATAATCATCATCTGTAAAAGATTGGCTCTCAGCTGCGAAAACATGTTTAACAGCGTTTAACAACTTAAAAACCAAACTCCGAGTATGAGAGTGAAACCAGCACTGATCTAACACTGCTTCCTGTTTACTGCTAGATAGTGTTTCACACTCATTTGGTCGAGAAGGAGCCTCGGGGGAACTGAAGCGACTCCTACATCACTAACAACACACGTTTTTCTTTATGGACTCTATTTGAGTGCACTCATAAGTGGGTTATGGACATAATATAAAGTCATTCATCATCAGCTCTATGGGTTAAAATTTACATAAACCTATAAGGCAGATGCTTTCAACCTTAGGAGTCGAGGTGAGATTTCTGTTAACTGTTTTATGCATGATAGTTGTTTTTTTTTTAGTTTTTGAGCACAATTATATAACTGTAGGTTAGACTTTCATATTTATGGAGCTTGTCTTGCATTTAAAAAAAATATATTAAAATGACCCGTCACATTAAAAATAATGCATTTTAGGCAAGAAATTGCAGAAAAACAAATATAATAATAAACAGCTTATAATAACAAAATATAATAAATAAAAAATATAATTTGTTAATAAATGAAATGAGCTATGAAATTATTTTTTTTACTACCTTTTTTTTTTTATATTCTTTTTGTCTTCACTAGAACATTTTAAAATGCCTGGGGTGTGACTAATACATTTGTAAAAGTACAAATAGTCCATGTAAACTCTCAGTTAATGGTTTATAAATCATGTGTCATAATTATAGTAAAATAACCCCCATTTAGCATAAGCATTTAATAATTTATCTTTTGTGGAATGAATCATTTAAACACGTTCTATTTATTTTATTAAAAATAAATAATACTGATAAATAATGTGTAAATTCACACAGAAAAATCTTTTTCCAGATCATAGTAAATAAAACACATAACGGCGCACTTACTTGCACTTGGGGATCGTGAAAGAGAGCTGTGTGGCTGAGGAAAACACATTTCATTTCATTAGTTTTAATGATATTCTTTGCAGATCATAATCTGTCACTATCAGGGTTAAAAAGACCGTGATCATCAGTCAAATACACATTAGCATCATATTCACTGGAAATATTCAATCTGTCAGGTTATTTTTACTAAATGTACTGCCTGCCTGTAAGTGTGTGCTAAAGCTTGTTTACTTGTGAGTGTGATCTCAGCTAGAAGCCTCATATCACAGGAAGAGGATGAATGTGAATGTGATGTGAAACACAAACAAGAAAGTAATATGGCACATCTACAAGTGAGCAGACACAAATTACAGGCCAATAACTGCATATAAGTGCATCATATAAGATTAATATGTATTTAGCACTTTCATTTAACAACTAATATGCTAACATGAAAACCAAATGGACCCATCTGCCAAGCAAAAATGACTGCAAACATCTTATTACCAAGAGAACATTTACCTGTGAATCTCTATTCACGGACCTCAACTCCCCTGAGAAAAAATTAATAAATAGACAGGATTAAAATGATTACAATTCAAAATGATTAATCATTAAAAATGTGTAATATTTGTTTTTATATTGCATGTATAGTATTGTTCCAGTTACATCCAAGTACGGAAAATTACAAATTATTATTTTTGATGATTTTGTTTATCTTATCTTATTTAAATATTAAAATGCATACATTAAGCCTCTCATTGGTATGTAACGGGTGTGTACACATTGTTGCGCTGTATAAAACATCTAACATTTTACCTCAATAAATGGCGTGAATTTGGAGGCGGGACTATCTGTTGGTTGACCAATAGCAGACGGAGGAAAGTTTATGATACCAGCTTGAAAACACTGGCAATGTTCGAAAAGGAAATCTAGCTTACTATTCAGTATGCTACTGACTATTTCCATTTGGTGGCACCCCAGTGGCATTAGAAAAATGACACACTTCACCTGTTAGGACTCTGCCGACACTTTAAAAGTTCAAAAGAGGATAAAACAAAAAGAGAATTTTAATTCCCTCAGAGATATGGAAATACAAGCATCAAATAACTGACTTTTAACAGATAGACACCAAACGAGAGGGCTCTGAATACCCTGCTGATCACATGAAAGAGAAGAACGTGAACAGAACTGAGTCATGAGAGGACAGTGAAAGCAGCAAGCAGAAGTTTCCAGAACTTAACTCTCATAAAACAAGCAAGTTCCCCCTTGACTAAAACGCGCAGCTGAAGTCATGAGTTTGCATTTTTTGTCTGCTTTTATTTTCAGTTCAGCACTTTAGCCTAGCAGGCTTCAGTTAGCCAAGAGGTATTCAGACTTATTTATGGGTTCAAATTAGACCAATCTATGTTTTTATGTAACTGACTTAAAAAAAAAAAAATTATGACCAGAAGGGAAAAAAAAAAAAAGACGACTAACTTGTAAGACTTTTTCTGCAACCGACCACAGGGTTGCTGTTAATGTTAACTAAAGCTAAAACTATTAAAAAACATTTCTGTTAATTTAAATAACACAAAATATATAAATAGATTGAAAAAACTTGGAAAATTAGAAATGTTGCCTTGGTGCCTAGCTGAAATCAAATAAGTTCCAAAAGTACTAAAAATTATTTGAAAATGTTGAAAATTCAACAAATAAATAAAGCTACATTTTTTTTTTACATTTACAAAAAATGACTAAAACTAAAATTAAAATAAAAACAGAAAATTTAAAATACAAGCCAATTCAAAATATTAATAAATACTACAATAGTAAATAAATAATACTACACCAACACTGGATTAGGGTGGTTGCTAAGTGGTTATTTCCTGGCTACTGAATTTTTAACTTGTTGTATCATCCCCCATTTAAAAACAAAGAATTAAAAAAAAAATAGAAGCCAATCAAAAGTCCTTTACCTGGCAATAGATCATAACCCTCATGGTCTGTCTTTTTGGGTGGCAGTCCTCCTCTCTGATTGGCTGTCGTTGATCTGTCGTAATCCGGTGAGGTGGGAGAGGGCAGGACTGACATGGGCCTGCTTTTAGGCTTGACTGAACTATAGACAGCATTGTTCTTGCTTTTCTCTAAAGCAGCATTGTCATAGTGATGGACAGTGATGGAACAAGGGGCAGAAGCAGGAGGCTGTAGTTTGGACTTGTTGACGACCGCGTAAGTGTCGTTCATCCTGATCTGAGGAAGAGGATGAGAAAGCCTGGACTTGAGAGGCGGATTTCTGAAACCAAAAACAGACAAATACATATGTAATTTAGGAATACAATTATTTTATGTTATATTTTAGCAAATTATTTTATCCAGCATAAAATAGTTTTTTTTTTATTATTTTAAATTAATATATACAGTGGGGAAATTATTTATTTGATCCCCTGCTGATTCTGTAAGTTTGCCCACTTACACAGAAATGAAGGGTCTGTAATTTTTATGGTAGGTTTATTTTAACGGATATAGAGAGAATACCAACCAAAAAAATCCAGAAAAAATATTATATGAAGGTTAGAAATTGATTTGCATTTCAGTGAGTGAAATAAGTATTTGATCCCCAAGCAAAACATGACTTAGTGCTTGGTGCAGAAACCCTTGTTGGCAAGCACAGGGTAAGACGTTTTTTGTAGTTGGTCACCAGGTTTGCACACATCTCAGGAGGTATTTTGATCCACTCCTCTTTACAGATCCTCACTAAATCCTTAAGGTTTCTTGGCTGTTGTTTGGCAACTTGGAAGTTTCAGCTCCCTCCACAGATTTTCTATAGGATTGAGGTCTGGAGACTGGCTAGGCCACTCCATGACCTTATTGTGCTTCTTCTTGGGCCACTTCTTTGTTGCCTTGGCAGTATGTTTCGGGTCATTGTCATGCTGGAAGACCCATCCATGACCCATCTTCAGTGTTCTGGCTGAGGGAAGGAGGTTCTCGTCCAAGATTTTACAGTACTTGGCCCCGTCCATTTGCCCCTCAGTGCGGTGAAGTCGTCCTGTACCCTTAGCAGAAAAACAGCCCCAAAGCATAATGTTTCCACCTCCGTGCTTGACTGTAGGGATGGTGTTCTTGGGGTCATAGTCAGCATTTCTCTCCCTCCAAACATGGCGAGTCGAGTTAATGCCAAAGAGCTCAATTTTGGTCTCATCTGACCACAGCACTTTCTCCCAAGCCTTCTCGGAATCATTTAGATGTTCTTTGGAAAACTTTAAACGGGCCTGCACATGTGCCTTCTTGAGCAGGGGGACCTTGCGGGCGCGGCAGGATTTCAGTCCATTGCGGCATAGTGTGTTACCAATGGTTTGCTTGGTGAATGTGGTCCCAACTGCCTTAAGATCATTAACAATGTAGTTTTGGGCTGATCCCTCACCTTTCTCATGATCCTCCTTAACCCATGAGGCAAGATCTTGCACGGAGCTCCAGACCGAGGCCGATTGATGGTTATTTTGTATTTCTTCCATTTCCGAATAATCGCACCAACAGTTGTCTCCTTCTCACCAAGCTTCTTGCTGATGGTCTTGTAGCCCCTTCCAGCCTTGTGCAGATCTACAATCTTGTCTCTAGACATCCTTTGACAGCTCTTTGTTCTTGCCCATGGTGGTGGAAGAGGTTGGAATGGAAGATGCAGATTGTGTGGACAGGTGTCTTTTACACCTAACGAGCTGACATTAGGAGTAACTTCTTAAAGTGACAGGACTAATCTGTGCTCCACATGGGCACATAACCAATCTGTGGGAGCCAGAATTCTTGCTGGTTGGTAGGGGATCAAATACTTATTTCACTCAATGAAATGCAAATCAATTTCTAACCTTTATATAATGTGTTTTTTTCTGGATTTTTCTGTTTTGTCTCTATCTGTTAAAAGAAATCTACCATAAAAATTACAGACCCTTCATTTCTTTGTAAGTGGGCAAACTTACAAAATCAGCAGGGGATCAAATAAATATTTTCCCCACTGTATACTGTAATGTTGAATGGCTATAGTCAATGGTTAAATATTAGGGGGAAAACAGTTTCATAGAGACATCAGTAGTATTGGTATCAGTGATACTGGCCTTAAAATAAAAAGATGCTATTAAACAAATATGAAAATATACTGTCTTTATGCTGTTTATACATCAATTTGAAGATTTAATGTGAAAATATTGCAATATAAAAGTATATACAAACCTTGGGATTAATCACGATTTTTCACAATTAATTTCAGAAAAAATGTGCGATTAATGTGACAGCACTATTTTAATATATTAATTTTTTACTAGGGCATGCGCCCAAGACATTTTTTTTTTAACTTGGACCAGTAAAAAAGCATCCAAGCAACACAGCAGAGAGTTATAATAGAACAGAAAACACAATAATCTAAACATAAAATCATCTGCATTGGTGCATAGTACAAAAATGAGTATCTCAGAAACATATGATCAAGAGATGAGATCACTAGCATGTCAATTACATTGCTAGTTTATAAGCCAATGGGTATTTGTTTAGATTATACTGTGACGTAAGACTACACAGTAGCTCATTCACAGAAAATAGAACGTTTACTTGGACCAGTAAAAAAGCATCCAAGCAACACAGCAGAGAGTTATAATAGAACAGAAAACACAATAATCTAAACATAAAATCATCTGCATTGGTGCATAGTACAAAAATGAATATCTCAGAAACATATCATCAAGAGATGAGATCATTAGCATGTCAATTACATTGCTAGTTTATAAGCCAAAGTCGTTTGTATTAGATTATACTGTGACGTAAGACTACACAGTAGCTCATTCACAGAAAATAGAACGTTTATCTTCCACCTTTTGCTCTGGGTGGCTTGACTACATTGGTGCATTGTGGGACCACATCTACAGCAACATCTAATGACTGTCTGTCACATTTGCATTCAGTGTTTCTTATGAAAAATGCTACTGACCCAAGGGGAACTGCAACGGCAGAACACAGTGACTTACAAATGATTAAATTGCTTGTTTGCTCTGTATAATCTGAGCATTAGCGGAAACCGCGTTCGTGTAAAATATTCACATCTTTAGATCAATCATCATTACAAAAGTCATAGTCATCTGTATGCAAAGCAGAAATGTCACCATGAACAAGTGCCCGTGCAGAGAAATACATATCCAGCTATACGTCGATGACTCATGAGATCAACTCACATTAACTCTAGTTACGTGTTAGATGAGAAAAGTTCAAATCGCTCCCTGTGGTGTGCGAGACAGAACTGACAATAACAGCTTGCGAGCGTCTTGGGTGAGTCCAACTGCGTGACGCACAGTGGCGTAGTTAGCAGATTTGCGCAGTTGTCAATCTCAAACTGGCCTCTGGCTGTGTCGCCACCGCTGGTTTTAATCACAGACATCCGCAAACGGGGTTAGAAATGTGGAAATGAGGGTCTGTGTGGTCTTACCGTGTTTTAGGGGGTACGCTGATGCTGCCTAATGTTCCTGATTTCAGTGGAGTCTTCGGTGGAACTGCATTGATGTACAGAGAGGCGGAAGTCTTGAGTTTCCAATATAAAAAAACAGAAAAAAAACAAACAAACAAACTGTGAAATATGTACACAGTGTGGTAGAGCGGCTACACAAGAGCGTGTCAACTGTTGAAGGATGCCTGAACATTTGCATAGAGGAAGCACACAGCGAGTGTGTTTCCTGCTAAACTGCTTTTTTAAAGCTCACGGCTCAAAGTCTTGAGGAAGTAAAACATGATGTGATGTAAAAACAAGAGATGTAGTGGTAGAGTGAATGTATTTTAAAACACTCGTAGAGGAAAATATAGATACTGTTTCTACCTACGATGTCAACAAACGGAAATCGTTCTTTTGTCACAAAGAACATCCACCATCTAAACACCATTCAATGTACCTACAAGCACAGGAACATTAGTACGTCATCCAGCACAAGAACATTAGGTAACAGCTGTTATGATGTTGTCATAATGTCATCATTCAGTTATTAGATATTTTGCAAACTATCCTAGGGACTATTGCGTACAATAAAAGTGAGAGAAGCAGAAGCTGTCAAGGCCCTACAAGGGCAAAAAACACCATCTAGGCCCCATAAGAAAGTAGTTCAATGAGTCATGGCCTACATTTCAAGTCTATGATAGCTCATTATGAGGGGATTCGCATCACTAAAGCCCTGTATTTGAATGTCTTTGAATGTATTTGAATGCAAATTTCAGCACTTTTGAATGTAATTGAATGCAAATTTCAGCACAAATTTTCAGAGAGGAAGGTTATCAATGAATAGCAACTTAAATTTCAGTGTTTCTCATTAAAATCTGATGGCTTTAGATGGAGTTTGACAGCATCACTTTTGTATGGAAAACAAGCAAATATCTATTTTTGTGTTTAGAAAATTATACAGGTTTGGACTGACATGAGAGTAAGCAAATGATGACAAAATTGGGGGGTGAAATAACCCTTTCAATTCAATATAATTACACTATTATTCAAAAGTTTGGGGTCTGTAAGATTTCTTAAAGTCTCTTATGCTCAGCAAAGTTGCATTTATTTAATCAAACATACAGTAAAAACTATAATATTGTGAAATATTATAATTTAAAATATTAATTTTCTATTTGAACATTTTAAAATTCAATTTATTCCTGCGATCAAAGCTGAATTTTCAGCATCATTACTCCAGTCTTCAGTGTCACATGATCCTTCAGAAATCATTCTAATATGCTGATTTATCGATCAAGATACATTTTCTATTATTAATAGTGTTGAAAACAGTTGCTTAATATTTTTTGTGGAATCCGTGATACATTTTTTCATGATTCTTTTATGAATTGAAAGTTCAGAAGAACAGCATTTAATGGTCACGTTGGTTATGTTGGCGGAAGTTAGCCTATTTTCAGGCACTACGTAATATCATTGCGCATGCTGCACCCATAGTACGGCAGCAAAGTTCCTTGATTATTTCGCCGGAATGAGAGTATAGTTCCTAGCCATATCGGCCTAGAAAATCGCAACTTTTCATTTTCCGTCGGTCTTAGTACACGATGTAACTACAGAAGAGTCAAGTTTTAAATAGGAAAAATATAGAAACTCTTTGGTCATTTTTGAGCGAGATGCTAACGGTCTAATCAGATTCAATGATCTATGCTAAGCTACAGCTAAAAGTGCTACCGCCAGACCCGGAGATCGGCTGAATGGATTCGAAAACGGTAAAACTCAACTGTTTAACTCTAGGGGAGTTGGAAAATGAGCCTATTTTCAAAAATAGTGGAGTGTTCCTTTAATGCCAATTTTGATCAATCTAATAATGCATCCTTGCTGAATAATTGTTTTTTTTTTTCAAATAAAAAAAAATCTTACTGACCTCAAACTTTTGAACAGTTGTTTATGTCTTACCTCTGTCTTCTTGTTTTTCATCTCCAAGACCTTCTGAAACATCTGAGCAACAGTATGAAAGACAAATGCATATTGCTCCTGAGGAGATTCACAAAAACAAAGCACTTGACATCAGGAATTCACATGGTGTTGTGAAATATGACAGACGGGGCTAAATGGGCCTATACCCATGTGATAAAAACATACAGCCTTTGATTATTACTTTAAAGAGAAGAGGCCTCAATAATTGTTCAAGAATCCATTCTGTAGATAATTTCCATTGTATGTGCCATGCAAAAAAATCACGTTCTTATGTTACCTTGGTCTGCACAGCCGAAGGTCTCTGTCTTCTGAGCTCTAACACCAGGTCAAATATATTAAAATCCTCCTGTATTTGCTGAGAATAAAAGAAAACATGTTTCATGTGTTCACTGTGTATGCGTTACATTAGTGTATATATATATATATATATATATGACACATTTGTTGCCTAATTTAATTTTTAAAATGACATGCTTCACTCTCAAGCGCTGTGCATATAATTTTGTGTTGCTTATGGTGTTCATACCTCCGTCAGCAGTAGATCATTGACATAGTCAACAGCACAGATGACCCCCGTTCTACCGCAGCCGGCACTGTAAAGAAAGAGAAGCAGTCACATTTCCATATGATGATATGATCCGTTCCCTCCTGAGTCTCAGTTCAGAGGGTCACGGGGGGGAATTATGGGCCATATTGTCAGACAGATCCTCTCTCATGTATATAAAGAGAGGGTAATGAGTGAATCTGTGCTGAAGTCTGGAAGTTAACTGGCTTTTCCAGCGCCACATCAGGTGCTGAATATTTAACATGTCTCGCTTCATTTAAATGGTGCCATTAAAATGCATGGAACCAGAGGAACACAGGCCGGCCCCTGCTGCACCCTAACAACACGGACCGACTAGTCCTGTTGAATTTTCATGGGCAGATTGGTCATTTGTCAGAGGCACAGAAAAACACAGAGACGGCTGTGCGTGCGATACAGACCTGCAGTGGATCACTACAGGGTCCGTCTGGTTGCCCTGTTTTTGGCGAGCCAGCTCCATCATACCCAGAATGCCATCCGGCAAGTCTGGAATTCCGTGGTCCGGCCAGGCAGTATACTGGAAATGAGACAATTTACGAGTTTCCTGTGTGGAAAGATGGCGAGTGTTGACCTCTCAATGGATTACGGTTTCTTCACCAAATTACAATGCTTGAAACGAGCTAAAATGGGAAATGTCACACACTGAGAGTAATGGCGGTTCCTTGTTTGGAACCATGTCAGAGTAAACAGTGTTTTACAAGACACTCAAAATGAAGTACACTGCAATTTTGTGGTTTGACAAATTTTCCTTAAAAACACAAATAGAAACACTCTTAAAGGAATGGTTTACCCCAAATATATAGAACGGTATATATGGGTGGGTATACATACATACATACATACATACATACACACACACACACACACACACACACAGGTTTGTTTTTGTGAAAAGTGGGGACATCCCATAGGCGTAATGGTTTTTATACTGTACAGACCGTATATTCTATTGCCCTACACCAACCCTAACCCTAAACCTACCCCTCACAGGAAACTTTGTGCTATTTCAGATTTTCAATACACTCCATTCTGTGTGATTTATATGCGTTTTGAAAAGTGGGGACATGGGGTAATGTCCTGAAAAATCAAAAGTCTCCTTGTAATACCTATGTCATACCCTTGTCATTATACAAATTTATGTCCTCATTTGTCACAAAAACGCGCACACACACACACACGTCAACATTTGAAGTGGATCAAAACCTTTTATCAAAGTTGTCCTAAAACAACTGGTCTTAGGACAACTTTGATTAACTTTTTTTGATCCACTTCAAATGTCGACTACTGTATATATATATATATATATATACACACACACACACACACACATACATACACACACACATTTTCTTACATGCATACATATACTAAATGTAAATACACATTAATTTTTGTTTTGCAGAAATTAATACTTTTATTCTGCAAGGACACTTTGTTACAAAATTTCAAATAAATTATGTTCTTTTTAACTATATTCAACACTGAATCCTATCCTGTCTAAATGTATCACTGTTTACACAATATTAAGCATCACAACTATTTCCAACATTGATAATAAATGATTCTTGAGCAGCAAACCCTCATATTAGAATGATTTCTGAAGGATGATGTGACACTGAAGACTGGAGTAATGATGCTGAAAATTCAGCTTTGCCATTAATGATTTCACAATATTATTGCAGTTTAATCCAATAAATGCACCCTTGGTGAGCATAAGAAAACAATATTTATTATATTTTTGCATGTGTCTGTATTATACACACACACACACACACACACACACAGTGCTGTGAAAATTTTTGCCCCCTTCCTGTTTTTTTTATTTTTTTTGCATATTTGTCTCACTTGAATGATTCAGATCAAACAAATTTTAATATTACACAAAGATAACCAGAGTAAAAACAAAATGCAGTTTTGAAATAATGATTTCATTTATTAAGGGAAAAAAGCTGTCCAAACCTGCCTGGCACTACGTGAAAAAGTAATTGCCCCTAAATCTAATAACTGGTTGTGCCAGCCTTTGCAGCAACAACTGCAATCAAGCGTTTGTGATAACTGGCAATG